AAATTCATGAAATAATAGTTCAATAAAATTTTGAATGCGAGTCAACAAACGAGATGACATGGTCTTTGACCTGTCCGGAAAGGGTTAAAGGTGTGTGTAAGAACATGATATATTTAATATGATGAGCAAAATATTTTTCTCTTTACAAAAGTATATAAAAGAGGAAGTTTCCAAAGGTTTAATCATCATATTTGGTTTTAGGTTCTACTGTCTCTTAAAGCTATCGGAAACATCGGAGTAGACGAAGGTGTGGTGGATGCTATTCAGGACTGTTACTCTAATCCTCAGCTGGACACTGAAGTCAGACTTGCTGCCATCCAGGCTTATCGCCGCTTCTCGTGTAGTGTCTCGGTAAGCTTATGTACCTGATTGATATTTTAAAATTTTTCTTAACTTTTTTAATATAGAAAAAGCATTAACCAAATACAAAAGTATAAGAATACGGCATAAAAAAAAACAGCATGTACTTTTTGATTTAGGAACGCTGAAATGAAAATAATATAGCATCAGTGTAAAAGCTTAAATCGTTTTCTAAACAACATCTTAAATGATCGGTTATAAAAACACCAGATATCTCTCATACATTGGCCCGGCATGGCCAGGTGGATAAGGCGCTCGACTCACAATCTGAGGGTCGCGGGTTCGAATCCGCATCCCACCAAACATGCTCGCCCTTTCAGCCGTGGGGGCGTTATAATGTGACGGTCAATCCCACTATTCGTTGGTAAAAGAGTAGCCCAAGAGTTGGCGGTGGGTGGTGATGACTAGCTGTCTTCCCTCTAGTCTTACACTGCTAAATTAGGGACGGCTATCGTAGATAGCCCTCGTGTAGCTTTGCGCGAAATTCCAAAACAAACAAACAATCTCTCATACACACACACATATATGTATATAACATAATTTTTATAAATCCAATGAATACAAACATTTTCACTTTATATCATACACATTAAAATTTTTGTTGGTTTAAATCAGAATAGCCAGATGTTTAAAAAGTTTTCTTCAATAACTACTCTAAAAATATATAAACATATGTTATAAAACACTAAAAACCTGTAAATATATATGTTATAGAACACAAACCAGTAAAAACATAATTATAACTTTATGTGATAACATTTATAATTTGTTTGTTTGGTTTGTTTTTAATTTCGCGCAAAGTTGCTTGTGAGCTATCTATAATTTAGCAGTGATAGACTAGAGGGACGCTAGTCATCACCACCCACCCACAACCCTTGGGCTACTATTTTTCCAACGAATAGTGGTATTGACCGTCACATTATAATGCTCTCATGAATGAAAGGACAAGCATATTCGGTGACGGGATTCAAACCCGCGGCCCGGTGATAGCGACTCGAGCGCCCTAATCACCAAGCCATGACAGGCCGCGATAATATTTATAGAACGATGTGTGACTTTTATTTTGTATTTTTGTTCTAGCGAGACAACCTTCTGCGAATTTACACCAGTTATGACGAGAACATCGAAATTCGTATTACTGCTTATATGGCTGTCATGCGCTGTCCCAGTTTTCACGTCATCAACATCGTCAAGGAAACGCTGGAGAAAGAAGTGGATAAACAAGGTGAGTCCACTGATACATACAAAAATAGTGAGAAATATATCAAGTTGAAACATCAATTGTTATCCAAGAACACTTGATTTTTATTCTCTGGAGGGAAAAGGAACTTCGACATGTTCCTAGAGTATTATTAACAATAGTCAAACATGTAGTAGCTAAGGAGGATTTTACGTGTTTAACGTATAGTAAAAGTATACATCTGATTGTTATAAGCACCTTCATCCCCCCTCTTTTTTTAAAATTTAGTGGGTTCATTTGTGTGGACACATCTGACCAACATGCAGGAAACCTCCAACCCCTTCAAACAGGACATCAGAGAAATCCTCCTGAACGTTTACCTCATGAATAAGTTCAACACGGATATCCGGAAATTTTCGCGTTACTTCGAAGGCTCCTTCTTCATGGATACCATTAATACTGGAGTTCACGTAGATGGTGACGTCATTTTCACACCGGAATCCTACCTCCCACGCTCAGGAATGATGAACTTGACTGTTGATGTTTTTGGAAACAGCTTGAATCTCTTCGAGGTAACGCCAGCTGATACGATTATCATTCTTTTTATCCTCTCTTCCTAATATGCTATTATATTTCCTTAAATCAGCTCCTGGTGTGCAACTTTATTATTGAGTCCTAATAATTTTAATTCGTATTTGTTTGTTTGAAATTATGCACAAAGCTACACAACGGGCCATCTGTGCTCTGCCCACCACGGGTATCGAAACCCGGTTTCTAGCGTTGTAAGTCCGCAGACATACCGCTATGCCACTGGGGGCATGAGTGACTTGTTTGTTTGAAAGTATGCACAAAGCTACACAACGGGCCATCTGTGCCCTGCCCACCACGGGTATCGAAACCCGGTTCCTAGCGTTGTAAGTCCGCTGTGCCACTGGGGGGGGAGGGCTTTAGTTCGTGTAGCTTAATGATAAGGTAAAGTAATATACGTTAATAATGCATAAATTAAGAAACTATATATTTTTGCATCGTACTATAATAATTACTTTTTGCCTCATCCACTTCATAAGTAAATCTAGCTTCATTTGTTGTTATTGTTGTTGTTCAATAATATTTTAATTAAAAAAGATGTAATATTTGAGTATCCAGTTACATTTTTTTACTATAAATAATCCCCCTCTTAATCTTTTTTTTTTTTTTTTTGGAAAGGTAAAATCTGCATAGTTTATTATTTTATCATCTTAAAGCGATTTGTTCTTATTATCTGTTGTTTACACCTTCAGATTGGTGGACGCATGCAAGGTATGGAAAAACTAGTTGAACGATTCTTTGGTCCTGAAGGTTACTTCCCACAGAAAACTGTCGAGAAGATGTTGAAAAAAGTCCGAGGAAAGCGATCTACCAAGGATAACATGACTGACAAACTGAGTTCTATGGTAAGATATGACTTCATTTTTTAAACATTCGCCCTTTTGTTAAAGGACTCTTTTATTATTTTTTTTATTAGAACTAGTAGACAAGATAAAATATATAAACATAAAGTGTAATTTCACAAACTTATAACTAAAATTTGGACCTCAGTTATTCTGTTTAATACTACTTATATTATTGGATCAATTTTAACATTTTCAAGGTATATAGCCATATTACTTCACATTTCTGAAATAAGGTTATCCAATTGCATACAAGGTGTTATAAATACTCCATATTACATTAGAAAATATATGTTCTTTAAACATTGTTTACATTTTATACTGAAAAAAAAACGTATTTTAAAGATAAACAGAAATATATTAGTTTTAATATTTAGTGTAACACGTCCCTCATTTGTGCTACAGTGTACTCAGTTTTAATATTTGTTTGTTTTCAGTACAAAGATACTGCTGGCTCCATCTATATGAAAGTTTTTGGAAACGAACTGTTCTACTCTCGTCTCGAAGAATTAGAAAGTATGACTCCAGGAAGAAGCTTGTTGGATATGCTCCTGAAGTTGGCCAAAGAACAGGATGTGGAGTTAACGAAGAGTTTTATGTTCTTAGATACAACATACACCATTCCCACCAGTAGTGGTCTTCCTCTACGTTTGGCTGTCAACGGAACTGCAACCGTTGGATTAAAAATGGGTGGCAAGTTTGACATTCGTTCCATCAGGCACGTGGACGTACACGGTCACTTTCAACCAAGGTAAGACTGACTCTAAGAATATCTTAACGTAGCTATTAATGTGGATCTGATTAAACACAGTATTTTATCAGTGCGAATTTTCTGTTATGTCATGTTAGTCAGGTTTGATGGTTAAATCGAATCTTATATTCAAAGTGGCATAACCAAATAGCAACTGTTCACATAACCCTTGAAAAATTGTTCCTGAGATCTATTATTTAGGGTGGGAGTTACACTATTATCCAGTAATAAATAACCTTCGTTCCTCGCCTAAGGTAGCTCTCTTTATACCAAAGGTCCAACTTATTCTTTAAGTCCATTGGTAATTCCTCCCATCCCTATACACTGGATCAGTATTCAGGGAAGTACTGCGAAACATATTGTTCATTTAGAGGCAGTTTGTATTCTAATGGAATCATCGGGTAATCTTAAATATGCTTATTGAAGACTAGTTTTTTATTGTTTTTCAAAACTCCAACAACTTGTATTGTGATAGCTAGAAACATAAGCCCTATATGAAGACAAAAACAACCAAACATTACTTTTCAAACATGATGTTCTATTGATTGTGTTTTTTTGTTTGTTGTTTGTTTGTAGTTAAACATAAAGCTACACAATGGGCTATCTGTGCTGTGCTCACCACCGGTATCAAAACCCGGTTTCTATCGTTTCTATCGCAAGCTTACCGGGGGGCTTACCGCAGGCTACTGGAGGAGGGGGGGGGGCTCCATTGATTAGACACGACTCGATACTGCGTATAACTTAAAAAATTCACAGTTTCTTTCATCAACTTACTGAATGAAAATTATATGTTTTAAATAAAAATATATAGAATTATAATGAGAAATATCAATCAATATATGCTCACTTGATGTGCATTACGAAAACAACACAAAATACGTGTCTAAGCAGCATTTCTAACACGTATCTATCACCTTTTCTTTTTAGTGGCGCCGTCGAAATATCCACTCTAATGACAGTGGATGCTAACGTGGCACAATCGGGTCTTAAAGTGGCTGCTGTCCTTCATTCTTCTACAGTGATGGATGGTTTGGTAGAAGTTAAAGATGGTAAACTGATGCATGTACAGGTGAATGTACCTCGAGACAACATCGAGATTGTAGATATCCAGTAAGTAATCAACAGTCTTCTCAGACCTAAAAAAATATAAAATCATAAATAATAATCAACGTTAGAATTGGTACACTATTAAAAACATTTTATTTAGGCCTATATGGCCTTCATAAAGGATGACGTTGCAACATCGAAACATGTAGAGTCGTCAACTTTTTGAAGGACATAAATAGGCCTAAATAAAATGTTTTTAATTGTGTACCAATTTTAACGTTGAATATTATTTATGATTTTAACTTTATACACAAGTGCCAAAACACAATAACTAAAAAAAATGTTCCACAAAAGGTTTTAAACTTAAAAAAAACGTTTCAGTGGAAGAAAATGTTTGAAATATTATATGCTTAATTGTCCAAAATAATAAGATCTGAACATGATGTGTAGAGAATTGAGAAACTTTTGTTTTTTAAACCCCTTTTTCTTAGATACACAAGTATTGAAATTGTTAGGAATTTTCTCGTTGTGATGAATGAACTAACACGGTTTAACATTGTATATGATGATATGTTTCAGGAGTAAGATATACTTGGTTCATGGTGACGAAGAACAAGAACAAAGAGGTAAACGAGAAGATCGGACTGAAGTCAACGAGTGTACTAGTAAATATCTTGGTCGAATGATTGGAATGGAGATATGTGGAGAGATGAGCTTCCCTGTTGCACGTGGTGGAAGGAGTGATGCCCCCTTGTTTCCTTTGAGCGGTCCAGCTTCCATCAAATTACTACTTCGAAAAGCTGATCCCACCCTGACAAGTTACAACTTTGAAGCAAGTTTGAGAAATGAAAAGGTGATTTTGTTCAGTTTTCTGTCTCGTTAAAACTCGAATAACAAACACGTATTGAAATTATTTGTTTGTTTGTTTTCGAATTTCGCGCAAAGTTACACTATGTCTATCTGCGCTAGCCGTCCCTAATTTAGCAGTGTAAGACTAGTGGGAAGGCAGCTAGTCATCACCACCCACCACCAACTCTTGGGCTACTCTTTTACCAACGAATAGTGGGATTGACCATCACATTATAACGCTTCCACGGCTGAAAGGACGAGCATGTTTGGTGTGACGGGGATTCGAACCCACGACCCGCAGGTTGCGAGTCGAGAGAGTCCTAACCACCTGGCCATGCCGGGTCGTTGAAATTACGTAACGTTACTTCTGAATTTTTTCCAGTGGTTTCAGAAACACTCTGTACTTCTCTTTTTAAACAAAGGTAGATTTTGTAAAGTACCATACGATAGATCAATAAATTAATGTTGACGGAATCTTTTGATAAATCAATCAAAACCACTAAGAATGATAACATTTTTTCTGTACCTTAATATTCAAGACAATAGCAGTTTACTTAAAATGTGGAACTCAAGTCTTAATGTCACATTTACTCAATAGGTGAGCACAGGGAAATACATCCGCCGAGCTCTTCTGTCTTTCAACACACCTCATTCTTCTGTTGACCGTGAAATGACCCTGGATATTCAGCTCAATCAACAAGAAAATTCATTTGACTTTAAATTGAGAAGCCCCATCAAGAAATTTGGAGTAAATGGTAATAAAATTTTGGTATTTAATACATTCTCTGAACATATAATGTAATATAACTTATGTATTACTGCGTCATAAAAAAGAATGTGTTTGGTGAAGAAAAATAATATGCTTTATATATATATAGTTAAACCTCGTTTTGCAACATTAATAATTATGTCAAAAAAGAAATAAAATTTGTGCAATGCGAAGAAGTTTGTTGAGAGACTAACCTTACTTAGAGCGAATTCATTCCAGCTAAATACAACAACGATGAAACGGAAAAGAAGATTGACCTTCGCGTTACCATGGACGACAAGGAACAACTCTCGGTTATAACGAGCCTTCGTACAGACAGAAATACAAAGTCCTTACGATTGTCACCTTACGTTGAAGTCAAAATTCCGAATCGTCGTCTCGTGTTTGCCAAGGGCTATGTTGCTCATGTGTCTGGTGAAAAATACAGTGGGCAACTGACGATCCAAGACCTTACCGAGAAACCAATTGTTCTGAAAGGTATTGAAATAAAAAGAAAACTTACCTAAGTCTCTATTCAGTAAGACTGCTATGTAATTATTATTTTTTTAAATATTAGTTTTACTGAAAGCCGAATAACTCCCAAGCTACATTAAAGTTAATATAAATTGGCACTTAGAAGACAGGAAAAGATTGGTACATTCAAATGAAACCTTACAGTATTCATGAAGTTTATGACAAACTTCTGCATTTCTATGTGTGTGTTGAAAATCACCTTTATCTAACCATGTGTCACAACAATTTATCCTAACTAATTATTTTCGAACAGTTTACAAATAAGAAGTATGTTTCGATATTATTACTAATAACAATATTATGAATGGTTTGTAACTTGATCATTTTCCAAAGGAAATAATTTTCTAGTATTCTAATATTGTTTGTGATAACCATACGTTAGATAGGATGATATGATCTAATTACATTTACATTTCAATAGGGGATGTTGACATCAAAAATCGTGACCGATTTGAAGGAGAAATTGGAATCAGTTCCTACATATTAGATACGACCGTTAAAGGGAATATTAACGTTGGATCAGGAGTGATCACCAAGTTAAGTGTCGACTATCAGGTTCTTGGAGGACGACGTGAGAATTTTGATATCACCGGCAAATTCCGAGACTTGTCTGTAAACTCACTCACTAAGTACACTGGTGCTATAACGTTTCAAAGTACAGCCGTACCAGAGTACGCCACTGTATTAAACTGGGAAATGCAAAATACTGATGGGCATCTAGAAAATCTGTTTGATGTTTCATACGGTGATGGACGTCGAGGCGAAATTCAAAGGATCAAATTCCAACAACTTCTCCATTATGAAGGGTCATTGGCTGATAACAAAGTCTCTGCTAATTTGAAATTCCAGTACCCACAAGGTAACATCGATTATGCTCTGATCTTAAAACATAAAAATGATGCCAATTTTCTCTCCAGTACCTTAAACCTCAAATACAGCGAGACGAAAGAGATCATATCGAGTATAGAACTGAGCAAACAAAACATCCGTTTCCTCCAGCTAAGAGCTGATGCTCGACTTCAGTACCCTGGTAGAGAGATGAGGCTAACTGGAGAGGTTATTGAAAACAAACGTAATGATTATCGTGTCTCCATCGATGGACAATGGCAAGAATCGCAGATGAAAGTAATAGCCAACTATAAGAACAAAGGTGACCGACACAAACTAGGGCATGAAGTTGACGTTGAAATTATACTTCCTCGCACAACCCCTGTCAGTGTTGCTGGTTATGTTAGTGCTGGACCAGGAGACTATGCGATAGCAATCAGTATGGAAGTAGCTAGAGAAAAGTACAGACTACAGAGTGATTATTTAACTACTTCTCTTTGGAACCACAAGTTTTCTGGTATAGTGAGTTTCCCTGGTAGCTCCTATTCTACTGTTGCTGCTATTGAAAGTAGCCAGAATACTGTGAAAGTAAATATAGATGTCAACCTTGAAGGAATCCGTCGTATCTTAGGTACTTTAGATCTGAAGAATACCAACGTCATGAAAACTGGTTCCTTGGACTTAAAGTGGGATGCTGATAGAAATCATGAAAAACGAATCACCATTGACTCTGAATATCAAAATATGGTTTCTAGACAAACAGGCACTATCACTGTGAAAATTCTCAGACGTATAATGAAGGCCTCTTTCAACAACGGGATAGAGGGTCATCTTACCAAGGGACCCTTCACATTGAACGCCGTGGGTGATCTGGAGTGGGGACCGGATCGTAAAATTACCATGGAGCTTAAAGCTGACAACTACATCTCGTCAAACAGACGGAAGATCAGCACTGACATCACTCTTATAACTCCTTTTGATGGTTTTCAGATATGTGGTATTCACCTAAGCCACAGTGATAATGGCGAAGAATGGAAAAACACTATTGTAGTGGAACAAAACTCCCGAAAAACTACACTAACATCTGAAGGACGATACAGTATTAGCAAAGTCAGTTGCTTCTTGCAAGGCTCTGTCAAGTTTAACAATCCAAACCTGGGGCAGGTGCAAATGGACATCTATCATAATATGGACAGTTCTGATATTTCTAATAAATTAGAAGTCCAGTGGGGATATAATAGAAAAATTAGTTCTTCTATGTTTGGATCTCTTCTTAGTTCAGGTATTCGTGGAGGAGTAAACTTCACAAGTCCATTTGCATCATTTCGAGACCTTTCTGCTTCTATTTTACACTCCCAAAATCAGAATCATATTCAGTCACAGGTTGAGTTTCAGTGGGATGTAAAAAAGAAAATGGCCATTGAAATTGATGGAAAGCTTAGCCTTACAAAGAACAAACACACATTTTCAATTAAAACTACAGCAGTAACACCTTTTACTGGCTTCGAATCTGCTTTAGCCAAGATTGTCTATTCCAATGATGGTAAGAATGTTAATATAGACACTGAAGTTAACTGGGATTACAAGCGAGTTCTGTTTGGTATGCAGGGAACCAATAAAAGCACATATTATGACACAAATGTTATTGGGAAAATATATTTTACCAGTCCTTTCCGTGGGTACGAAAACATGGAAGTCAGTGGTTTCTGTAAAATTTACAGCCATACATTTAAATCAAGCATTGAAGCTCGTCTTCCTACCAGACAGAAGGTGTCGCTTAGTAGTGAAGTTAAAATTACATCAACATCTGATGCAAGCATCCAGTTTCTTGCCACTACACCCTTCCGTAACTTTGAGCACGTTTCCCTTGATCTATCCCATAAGTTTACTGACAACTTGAAAACTGTTGGTAAAATAAGATATGGAACCCAGGAAATAACTATGTATCTCAGTGGAAGTCACTCAATCAGCTACACCGAACAACGTTTGGATGGTGCACTTGTATTCACGACTCCATTTGTTGGTTATGAAAAAGTGAAAATATCTATTGCCCATGACAACAACCACCAGGATAGGTTTAATAGTCACCTAGAAGCTTCTAAAAATCAGGATTCCTTACAATTTGTTCATAGATTTACAATTCAGGATGCTTACAACTTTCAGTCTGAACTAGAGATACTTACTCCCTTTGAGAGCCTCAAGTCAGCTAAAACAATAACAAAACAATCCTTCCTTTCAAATTCCTTTAAACACAATACAAATTTTATTTGGAACAGACAGGCACCAGTTGACATCATGATAGAGTTTCTAAGTGATCGCCAGACATACGAGCAGAACATACAGGCTCGAATTAAATTGATTACTCCATCTGACATACTTCAGTCGCTGTTAATTGAGACTACATATGAGGAAAACAAGGACGAGTATAAGCCACGGCTCAATATTAGGTGGAATGACTCCAAACAAATCACCCTAGATGGACGTTTAGCAATTCATAGAATGCAACGAGTTGAAGGAAATATAATCTACACAAGTCCTTTTTATGGATATGAAAAAATCACTCTTTCTGGAAAGTATGATCTTGCAAGTAGAAAGCGTACTGGTGAACTTTCAGTTGAATATGACCCCAGAAATAATGGTAAGGTATCCATAAGTGGATCTTTATTTACAGACAGAAGAAAAGGAGAAGCTGAGGTAGTTTTCAAAAGTCCAATCCGTAACTTTGAGGAACTAATTGCTTATGGAAAATACGCATCTGACAAAAACCAAAGAACTACAGAACTTTCCTTCCAATGGCCTAGAGATCAGAAAATGAAGGTTTATGCAGAATTTAGTCAAGAAAAAGACAATGTTGAAACATCACTTTCTTTCACTAGTCCATTTCAAGGATACGAAACCTTCCATATTGAAGCTAAAGCAAATGTCAGACGACCTCAAGGAAATTTTCAGATCATAATGATGTGGGGACTTCAGAATAAAATTGAATTTTCCTCTGAATACGAAATTGCAAGTAATATGCTTTCTACTACTCTAATACTTCGAACACCTTTCCAAGAATATGAGGACATTGTATTGAATGGACGCATACAGAAAAAACACAATGAAATTGATTTATTTCTTACAACCACCTGGTCACCTGGCAAGAAAATAACTGTACTAGGAAATGTTAAACATAATGACTTCTATCCAACTGAACTCACAGCTAACCTCGAAACCCCATTCTTATCGTACAGAAACATAAAATTATCATCTACCATCGAGAATGTAGACAAACGATTTTCATTCAAGTCTCTTCTTAACTGGAACAGTAAAACCTATAACATGAATCTTCTTTTCAGTAAGGTTGACAAACAGGAACTGGAAGCAAAGTTGAATGTAAACACCCCAAATCCTAACCATAAAATAAGTATCGAAGGACGTTTTAAAGGTATAAATCCTCAGAAAATTGAGGGTAGCATGAAGATAACAACTCCTTTTGAAACGATTAGCCCATTAGAAGTAACTGGTAACATTTTGGATTCTGAGAAAGGAAAACAAATTTCAATCATTGGAAGCAGCAGAAATAGTCGGTTCTACATTTCTGGAGACCTTAGCAATTATAAAAATCGTCAAATTACAGGTAACTTAAAAGCAGACTTGCCATTCTTAAGTTTTTCAAATATTGATATGAATCTTAACATCAATAGTGATTGGATTACCCAGTTTGATGCTTCAGCCAGAATGACAATTGAAAGTTCAGCACATACAGCTAAGGTAGCTTTAAAAAACTTGGAGTTTACAAGGGAGTTGTTATTTGAAATTCAATCTTCTCTTCTTCCTACAAAACAATTAACTCTAGAACTACAGCTAACATCTAAGCCTAATGCGTACATTACAGTCCTAAGATTTTATACACCTTATATCAGTCACCGTTTCACTGGGAGCATCCAGAAAACTCGACAGAAACTTAGTGTCGAGGGAACTGTTGAGAGTCCAATTGTTAAAAATGGGCTTTTAAGCTTTAGTGCCATTTATAGAAGTGAAAGGTTTGAAAAGCAGAAACTGGATGTTAGCCTTGGTACCAAAGTGGATAAGCACAATTTGCAAGTGGCATATGAATACGGCAAAGATACAATTGTAATTTCAGGAAATGTTGAAAGTAAGCTTTTAAAAAGTCGTTCAATCGAGATTGAGTGGAAATACATAAACAATAATAATCATGAATTAGAAACTTCCTTCAAATTTGCCACCCCTTATTCCATCCATACTGCTTCAGGAATCCTAAAGCTGTATGATACAGAAATAGAGAGCATAGTAAGTATACAAACACCAGTCTTCAATATCCAATCTCTTACAGTCACAAGCAGCTTTGTTAATAAAAGGTTTGAAGTTATGGAGGGTAACTTTCTGATTAAAACACCTACAAATGAAATTCGTGTAGCTGGAAACATCCGTAATAGTGGCTGGAAGGGGCTGGAAGCTTTCTTCACGATCAATACTCCTTTTGACATTCTGAAAATGGTAAGAACTGATATCAAACTTCTCAATGAAAACTTTAAGAACATAGAGGGCTCTCTTGAGGTACAAACTTCTACTTACATTTTTCCAAAAATGTCTGTTGCTGGAAAATTTCGCCGTAACACTGGCTTGTATGATATATCCATCAGTGCCAAGCTTCCAATTCAAAGATATCACAGTATTAGACTGTTGGCTACTCTACATTACAATCATGAATTGACTTTTATTAATCCCAGACTTACTTTGACACTTCCACAGAAACGATACTCAGTGTTCTCCAATTACAAAACATCTGGCCAAGAACTTGTAGCAACTTTGGGGTATGAATGGGATCAACATTCACAGATACAATTTTCTACATCAATGAAGTTTGCTCCTGGAAATTGGAATGGTGAGTTTGCCATTACTACTCCTTTCCGTGGTTATGAAAACTACAATTTGGGTATAACCTACACTGTTGAACAGGGACACTATAATATTCGTATTACTTTTAAGGACCCTCAGGATGAAACATCACTTGTCAACGGTTCTTTCCGATTCTTTGACCTTACTAATATGAAAGCAGATATCACCATCAGTACACCATTCCGAGGTTGGGAGAACATCGCAACAAACTTTTTTGTTCAAGATTCTTCCAAAATGTTTCTTAGCAGCTTCCAGCATAGATGGGGAAGCAACCAGAGAATCTTTTTCAATTTGGACAACAAAATAAACAATAAAGGGTACTCAGGAGAACTTAAGATCACTTCTCCTTTCCAAATACTCAGGAAAGCTAATATTGAATACAGTGTTCTCAATAAAGATAATATGAAAAATGAAATAGAAATAACTTACAACAATCGAAAAGTATTAAAGGTACAAACATCATCTATATACGAATCGTGGGGATACCACAGATATATGAATGTTGAACTTCCATTATCTGCTATTCAATTTTCTTTTGATGCCAAGTCCTTAGAAAATGGAATAGAACTCAAAGTTGAAAGTAACATCCCATCCAGAAAAATGGTTTTTCATACCATCTACCAAAACACCTGGTTGCACTTTAATCATGTCACTGAATTCACATGGGATGCTGAAGCTCGTCGTACCATCTCTTATGAAGCTAGACTTGTTGAATCATCAAAACGAGGTATCGACTTTTTTGGAAAAGTGGGTCTTCCCAGCCGTTCCTTTGAGCTTAAAGGAGAAACTGAACCTCTTCAAAACGGTAAATATATCAACATCGAGTTTTTATGGGATGCAGCTAAAGATATAAACAAACGCATTGGTCTTGGCTTCGAGTATCAAGATAAAAGTAGAAGAGATGTAACGAACCACAAAGTCCAGATGACCATCAAACACTCTCGTCTATCCAAGGTTAGTAATCTGAATTAAATTTAGTTAGATCGTAAAGAAATAATTCTCAGTAGAATTCAGTTGAAACACAACTGAAAATTGTTACTATGGCTAATGTTTTAAGTTCATTATTTACCACAACTATTGGTACATTACCTATCAATAGAAATATTCGAAAGGCTAGCGTATCACGTATAAAAATTAAAATGATCCGTTTTTACAATTCTCAGATACTTTTGTTACTTCAAATCATAATGCATAATAATACTTTTCAAACAATATGATTTCATCTTACCTCTCCAGGAAATTGTAATTCTCGGTGATTTCTCTGTTTCTTCGTCTGAGTTTTATGCGAAAGCTGAAGTGGGCTATTCTCGACGTAGCCAAAACAACATGGTTGCAGAGATCAAAGTTAGAAATATTCAGAGTTGGGGAGAATCAAAATATACGCTAGAAGCCAGTGTCAAACACCCAGTTACCAACTTAGACATATCTTTTAGTGGTCATCTTGTCAATAATAACGATGAATATGTCTTCAATGTGAAGTTTATCTTCCTCGATCGCAACAGAATACAACGTGTCCAGGAACTGAAGGCTAAAATAATGAAACTACAACAGGAAATCCACTTTGAGGTAAAACAGTTTTTTTTTCGTTATTTTCAAAAACATTGGTAAAATATGACAACAAAATAAGAACAAAAATGATACAAGGAAAACTGAATTATCACATGTAAACATGCAATAGTTAATAATAATTATAAGAGTTTATATTAAACGTTGAGTGTGTAAAAACTGAAGAATGTAAAGTATGCAGAACCAAATATGGATGTTTTGTTCCTGCCCCAAAATATCATAGACGTATATCATTATTTCATAATTCTATCCTGTTTCATGAAACGCCTTAGTACAACACGCCACTGATTAATATATATTTCTCTGTGTTATCAGATTAAAGACGGGGACAACCAGCTAAAAATGCTTGGTCGCATGTTTAATCGAGACCACGAATTCACAGCTGCATTAGAACAACAGCTCAATGACCACAGTCCTGTCCACTCTCACTTCCGGCTTAGCAAAAGAAACATGAAAGTGGATCTGAACATCACCACGCCAGGTAGTTATTACCAACTTTACTCTTCGGTTAGAGTAAGGTATATTTACTTTAAAAGTTAAAAGAGATGAGAAAGTATCAAGGACACCAAATACTCTAAAATCATAAAGCTAATAAAACTACATTACGTAACCCAGATGAATTAAAAAAGTTAGTTACTATATAAATTTCTTCATTTATTCATATGTCTCTACAAGTAATAATAATTAATTTTAAAATATCCATATGTCTCTACAAGTACTAATAATTAATTATAAAATATCCATATGTCTCTACAAGTACTAATAATTAATTTTAAAATATCCATATGTTTCTACAAGTACTAATAATTAATTTTAAGATATTCATATGTCTCTACAAGTAATAATAATTAATTTTAAAATATTCATATGTCTCTACAAGTAATAATAATTAATTTTAAAACATTCATATGTCTCTATGGCATTATTTTTATCAGAAAACGATGGAATTCACGTAAGAGTCGCCCTACCCGGGGATGCAGCTCACTTTGAGATCAACCACAGTAATAGAGGCAGTGTTGTTTCTGACGTGCTCTTTGATCTTGGTTTGGAGGAGTCTAAAGTACTTAGGAGTCGTATTAGCTGGAGACCAGAAATTATAGACGACGTCAAGGTAAATTAAATTTAAAATGTTTTTTTTTTTAATTATCTTACTGTTTATATATCAGAGATATAATGAAATAGCGGGAATATGACATTTTTCTTCAATCAAGATTTCTCCTGGGTCATCAAATAGTTAAGAAGAATTTTAGGTATTCTGTGTATTGTCTTACGACATGTAATAAGGAACTTATTGTGAGAATTAAAATATCACCAAACAGTAATTTTAATTTGAAGTGATCGCAGTTGTGGGCGTATAATATTTTTGGAACGTTCTTTTTTTCTTATTCCATTGGATTCTCTAACATATATTATCATACATTTGGATAATGTAGCAAATAGTGTCCAAGTACGAACATATCAACAACATTTATGCATCCATCATGGATGACGTCTCCAGTGAAGTTTTCCAGGAATTGAATGCCAAATCTGCCATGCTGGAAAGATCTGTGGCTCAAGAACTAAAGCCCTTCTATCAGGAAATGAAGCATGACTTTTCTAACCTACAGCATGAGGTAAAACTGGGTAGCAAGGAAGTTTATGAGATGTACAGAAAGAATGACTTCTACGTCAGGGACATTATCGGTGGTATTGAAACAGTAGCTGATTCTTTTAGGTAAGCCTGGAGGCTACAGTTCAATTATAATATAATTTTAGAAGAAAAGTATACATGTACCAGCAAGATAACTTAAAATACTAATCAAGTATTTTTGTATTATAGAATACTATTTTAGGACGTTATGGTTATTTTCTTTTTATCTATCAACAGTATCTTTCTAATTACTATATATTAAGTGTAATAATAGGTATAATCCAATGAAACACAACAGTCTGTAGTGTTTCCAAATATTTTTTTAACTTATAAGTAAGTGCACATAGCTATGCTTCACTTAATTGTCTGATTTCATATACTATAAACTTTAATCTACCTAGTTCCATCATTTCGTCAACTGGTGAAGCTTTGAAAAACGGTGTTTCCGTGACTGGACGTGTGTTCACAATCACCTTGAACTACATTAGTAAACAATCCGCCAAAATCCTGGAAACCATCGTTGACCTTTATGGTCAGATTTTCTATCGGACAGTTCGTATCATCAGGAATTTCAGTATGAATGCCTATAAGTGGACAAAACCAGTTGTTTCCTATGTCATTGACATTTCCACAGAATTAAGCCGTATGATAAAAAACGCAAAATGGTTCATCCGCCATTATACCCCATTTATTGAAAATTATTGTTCCACTATCTGTAATACTTATTCTGAGATAATGGAGACATTAAGAGGTAAGAAAGGAAAATCCTTCATGTAGTAATTTAGTAATCTAGTTTCTATACTTATTAGTACCTAATTTAATCAAAAAGAAAATGGAGAAGGATTTCATATTCTGTTTTAATAAAAGAGTGTAATGATCGATTTGAAGGGAAATATTTCAAATAACATAATGTATAACAAGAATAATCATCAAACTGGTGTATTTGCGTGTTTTACACTCACTAAAGACAAACCTATCATTCTATAGGTATTTGAAGAACTTGTAGCAATCCGCCACACTTCCAAGCTTTAACTTGTTATTAAACAAATGTTTAAACAATTCTACTTATTCAATTATGCACAAGCTGCCAGTGTCAGATAACAATATGAAGAATTAAATTGTGGCGGATTGCTACAAGTTCTTCAAATACCTATAGAATGATAGGTTTGTTTTTAGTGAGTGTAAAACACGTAAATACACCATTTTGATTTTCGATACCTCACTAGTATGAAGGTTTGGTTTGGTCTGATATTTCATTGGTGGTAGTGTCCAGGGTCACTGATGAAGAGTGGAATTCTCCGAAACTAGCCTGGCTAATAAACACACACCCTAATGAAAGAATAGACCATTCCAAGCTTTAACTTGTTTTTAAACAAATGTTTAAACAACTCTACTGATTCAAGAATAATCATGTTATCGTTTATATGAACCCGAAAATGAAAGTGTTTGGAAAGGCCTATACATATTGTAGCTACAAAATATATATTTATTTAGATTCTGTTGATTACCTGACCGAGGAGGTTTACAATCATCCCTATTACATTGCTTTGAACAACTACGTCTACCGAATTAGAACCACCGTCGCTGCTTTCCGTCGTGGTTACAACTCCAATCTGTACGACAACATCAAGCAAGGCCTGGGAACTTCCTTATCCTCCCTCACGACCCAATATTCCCAGTTCCGTCAACACCCACACGTAGAATATATCAAAGATATATCTAGAGACATTTACAACAAGGTATGGTTCTTTTGGATAATAAATGAAGCTTTTATCAAAGGATTACTATTGTAAGCACACCATTTAATTGTACTCATAACCATTCCAGATATTGAAAACAGTAGTTCAGGATAAAAAAAATTACTTAAATCCAAATTATTTTTTCTCGATTTCTCTCAGGCTTATTTCACCTTCTAAGAAGAAAAAAAACGGTTAAACAAAAAACATGGCTCCTCATTAGCTCGACGATAAGTCTGTGATCTTATAGAACAAAACGAAACAGTGATTAGGATAGCTTAAAGTTAAGTTGCTGCTACTGGTGTCTCGTGTTATTTCCTTCGAAAGAACTCTTATATGGCTGAATTTAACATTTGTAGTTTTTAAACGTATCTTTTAGTGTTTTATTTCATTGCGCGTGTGTTGTTGGTAAGATATTTCCTATTAAACTCAAATCGTTTTATAAGTGGAGGGGAACATTGATGGTTGGTATTATCATAATAAAAAATAACCTAACGTAACTAGAAAAAAATGACGAAAAGAAATTACAGTGAAATCCTTTACTTATCCAGGGATCCAAGACTGCCAGGTACTTTGGAGTTGACAACATGATCAGTGGATCTTTCCTTTATTTGAAGAAGGTAACTTTAGAATCTGTCAAAGAACTCGTTCAGGACTGGTCCAGCATGATTGCAGGCATCAGTTACACCTTCAAACCCGAACAAGGTCAAATAGGTTTCAGTTTCGTGCTTCCCATCAATCGTCAGAGCTTGCTAGATGTACTAGACGTCACCAGCTTTCCATTGTACCAGCACCTTCAAGATTTCAAGTACAAACTGTTCAGTGAAGATTTCCATCTTTGGGATGGTTACTACAGCGTGATGCGTTTCCTGAACCCTCAGAATTGGATACATCCATCCACAGGTGTTTAATGATTAATAACGTTGTTTGTTGTTAAACTTTAGTATTACGAAATATAATTGTATTCGATGGTAAAAAAGTGAAATACATATATATCTATATATGAACATTTTTAATGAAGTATATTTCCTACATTCTAGAGTAAGATAACTAACGTTGGAATATTACTGTGCTTTTGCCAATAAATTCAGGTTTGCTATCTTTGAATCTAAAAAAAAACTATAACTTCAGATTTATACATATATATTAACCAAAAGATTTACCTTTTTTTAATGGAATATTACTAAGATGCCATTGTTGTAGTTTAATTATATCATATTTTACCACCTCCGAAAGTTCTAGAGAACTATAATTTACTTATATTTCAAAATACTAAAAAAAAAGTGTAGGTCTTCTAATAATGTGGTTGTTTTTAAGTGCAATGTGAGACCTATGATGGCACCACCTTGCTGGAGGGAGAAACTACTGTAATCAGGAACATGTCACTTAAAGTAGCAGATATTGTGTTCATCATTGAAGAGAAAGCTTGTAACAAAGATGTGATACCCATGTTGGATAAGCTGGCTAGAGGAGTGGACAAAAGCTACCGAGAGAAGGGTTACACTGATGTACGATACACCGTTGTCGGGTTTGGAGCTGATGGAGTTCATGGTGTCCCCCATCTTCACACCAGTGATGGTGAAGTATTTACCAGCATCCGCTCTATAGACTCAGCCATAACCAGTCTAACCATTGGCGATGGCCCAAGTAACATCTTTCATGCCATCCGCTTTGCTACTGGTCTTCCATTTCATGTTGGATCCACCAAGACTTTTGTCCTTGCCAAGTGTTCTACTTGTGAAAGTGAAGACGAAAAGGTCAGTAGAATCTATTGTTTTACAGAGAAGGTATGTTTGTTTGTTTTTGTCTTGAAGTATTTTCCCGTTATCTCAAGCTGTCGTTAATTAGAACATTCTTCTGCAAGATAAATAACAGTATTAATGTCCAATCAATTATGCAAAACAGGATTTATGTAAAAAAATTGGGATTATCATTACAACCTTTGCAAGTGTTAATTTATCACTTTACTATACTTATTTTTATTACAATGATTTTCCATGTTTTGATCAATTTTGCTTACTTTTATCGGAAATATAGAAGTACTGCTTAAACGAAGGCACTTGTTAACTTGTATATTACTACGAATGTTAGAAACTAAAGTAGGTTGGAAAATTTGAATCTTTTCGAGATACAAAATATTGTTTTAAATTATGCACAAAGCTGCACAAAGGGCTATCTGTGCTCTGCCCATCACGGGTATCGAAACCCGGTTTCTAGCAATATCAGTCCGCAAACATACCACTGTGCCACTGGGGGCAGATACAAAATAACTTTAGATTTATCAATATGCTTTCAAAATTATTTCACAAATTTTCCTCCAGGGTGACTACGGTGAAATTCTGCAGATCCTATTGGACAATGAAATCACTCTTCACTTGCTGATGGACCATGAATTCCAGATGAAATCAGCTATTAAGTCGAAAACAGCAAACCGATTACTAGGTTAGTTTCATATCTTAGGCCGATTTTTTCCTCTTCTTACTCCTTACTTAGCTGATACTATAATTTGACAGTAAACTTTTTTAAATCAAGATCTAGTTTCTTAGAACTTTTAGATCTGTGTTACAGTATCTTGTGTAAAAGTTTTCATACAATTGCAACTTCTACCACTTTGCAAATTTTACGGAATACTGTATGAGAAAGGAAACTAGGTCTTTCTGAAATAAATAAATAAAAACGATGCTTTTATTTATCATCTAGCTTTTGTGGATTTTAGTTTGAATTCTAATGCGAAATTATAACTTGCTTAGGTCTCGACACAGAATACGCATACACATTAAAAGATGCTAAAGACAAAATATTAAAGGGCGATAAGGCTGTTCGTTCTCAAGTGAAAATCCCGAAAGACCACTGCGTTCCCTTGGCTTGGGAATCGAAAGGAACATTCTTCAGTACAGATAAGTTGACAAAGAACGTTAGAAAAGCCAAGAAATTCATCGATGTCATAACCCGTCGTATGGCCATGACTGCAGAACACCCACAGTGTCAGACTTGTAGATGTATTGCGACCGAAGATGGTGTCGGCAAGATGGTGTGCCAAGCTTGTGTCTCCAATCCTGTGATTGTGAAGGACATCGTAAATCAAAAAGTATTTATATATCTTCGCATCACATCAATTTATACTTGATAATTATAAAATCACTTTGAATATAGAATTTCTATTTATAAAATTTGGAAATACTTAGGAATTTACACATAGTTATATAATAAAACTATGAATATTGACCTTAGATATAAGGCAGGTGTTTTTAATGTGAACAAATTAAAGGTCAATTCAAGCATTAATCGCGGAAACTGTTCTACCTTAATTTTCTGTCATGCGTGTTATTCATTTCATATGATAATAAGTAAAATCTGCAAATTCTTATGGTGACTTTTGTTTACAGACCAACTACAACACTCCGGATGTTGATGATGGTAGTGATGAAGGAGTAGACGACGAACTGGACGATGACTTTGAGGACCATATGGACCAAACTCTGCAAGTGAAAAAACGGAAGATTTGGAAGGGATTTTAAACTTTCTAAACATCCAAAACCTCTAGCTATTCATAACACATGTGATTATAATGGGAAAGAGGACTGACCATTGTCCAAGTGATACCATTTACAAGTATAATGAAAAACGCCAATCATACGTCATTACCTAATTCATCTTGCTAAGTTGTGATGCTCAAATAACGCCACAGTATATCACTATGATAATTTTTAAGCTGTTTGTGTATGTGTATTAACTCAGATACTTTTGTAAAAATTGAAATTATTATGTTAGTAGGATGGTATAATAAATGAACTTTGACTTTGGTACATGTATTTATAATCCAAATAAAACGATAAATATGAAATAAAAGTGTGCTTCATTATATTAATTTTCTTCTTGTGTTTACTTTCTTAAAATTTCCACAGAATCTGTATTACAAAACATTTTATACCGTCATACATTTTATAATTTAAAGGAAAACTGTTTAGTAAAGAATGCTGTAAAATTCGTTCTTTATTTATTATATTTTGTACATGTACATGTAATACTATAACAGACACGGTTAGAGTTAAAAACAGTGACTGCAAGAAATATTAAATCTCCAAAATTATAAAATAATGGTAATGCTGTTCATATTCTCATGTACTTCAATATTTATCTTCAACATACCAACAGTAATTAACTATGAAACTCTTATTTCACAGTCTACAGACTAAATGCTCAAAATCTCTGTCATCAACCAACAAACAGCCATACAATTAAAAGCAAATGACCAAAACATAAAATATTTCTTGACACACTTCAACAATTAGCCCCCATGGTTTACCTTCCGATGCCGCGAAAAGAAATCGTCGCACTCCGCACTTTGGGGGCCGTCTTTGTGTGTTATAAGAGTAACGATCAAATCCCACTATTCGATAAAGGCAACTCAACAGTTGATGGTGATTGCTGTTAACTATCTGCTTTTCCTCTAACCTGTCAGTTCAAAATTAAGAACAACTCGTGCAGATAGCCCTTGTATAGCTGGCGCAAATATCCGAAACAAACAAAACAATAATTATTAGACATTACTCCCTTATTTCAACATGTTGAAGTCGTATAAGAATAGTAACTAGATACGGGCAAAGTTAACAGGCAAATTCTAACAACTACCTGTCACGAAAAATTGCTTTAAAATTCTAAAGTCTTATTCTAATGATTATCTGATGTAGTCCATAAGTTACCAGGAAATATTAACGAGTACCAAAGATAATACACAACCTCATGTGTTCACGGAGAGTGACCAAACATACCAATAACTCTTGCAGATATGTTCATACGAGGAGTTCCTCCACACCAAACAAAGATTCCATCATTTATCAGTAACACGCCAGAACTTACCATATCCACACTAAGCAAACGAATACTTTCATTTTGAGGACAATTACCTGAAGTTATTAATCGTGGTTGAAATATCTCGATATTGTGCAAATAATAACAACAAAAAAGTAACATCAGAAAAGAAAATGGAAAATATGAGCACCTTCGGAAAGTAGACTTTCCTTTATCTGGTTTGGATGACAAAAGCGTTCTGGTTATTAGGTTTCTTGTCTGATGATGATTTTTGTTGTTGTTGTTGTTGAGCCTGTGCTCTTTTGGAATAGGTTACCAGATGTGAGACACAATCTAATACCAGTGACTAAATAAGTATTTCTTCTTAATTTTTCCTAAAATAGATACCACAGCTGAAAGTAAACATAATCTATTTTTGGATTAATTTGGAGGCCAGCGAGCTGGAACGGTTCCTCCTGGATGGTACAAGTACCCCGAAGCACTGGACCAACGTTATGGGGAGATTTCCAGAACCCACGCTTTCCAACTTCACCCCGAGTTACTGTATGTGCATACAATCATAACCCCATGCCAGGGTCAGAGGATTAATGGGGAGGACATCATATGAATCCCAGGGTGTGAGGTTTGATACAATTTTGAAAATTTAATAACAAAAGGAAGAATGAGTTACAATTCTTGACAAAAAGGTACACTGACAATCAATTGATACGGCATTTACATGAAAATGACATGAGTACAGAAAATTAATACATCAAGGTCAAAAGCATATTACAACATGAGTTGATACACTAATATGCATGAAAAATCAAAATGTTAATAAAATGAAATGACATACTTTTATCCAGGAAAAATCAATATTTGAACAGTACAAATGAAATTATACACTGTCAAACAAGAATACAAAAAAAATCAAAATATTATTCTTTTATACAAGGATACATAAAAAATAATCACAAGTGAGATGAGTAACAAGAATATACAGAGAAAATTATTAACCTTACAAATTTGGATAATTCACTGATACACATATATACAATAAAAATTAAAATATCAATGAAACACGATTATCAATTAAAGTGCAGAGTGGCGACACATCTGGACGCCAACGATTATAAAAGACAAAAGGATCCAGGAGTTGACAGTCAGCCTCCAGACGCAAAAGAAGTCGAAACTTGACTAGACGCAAGACATTAAGAAAAGTATCCCAAGACTTTTCGTATACATATCTATTTCTTGTTAGCTAAATTACATGTTTGAAAAGAATTAAACAATAATGAAAGGAAAATTCTAGGTGCTAGGACACAGGTAATGGAACATGATACAGTACAGTATCAGGTGGAATGAACGAAATACGAAATAAATCAGAAAGAAATCGCCAAGCCTGGATAAAAATAGGGCACAAAACCATGAGGTGCATTAAGGACTCGACAAGATCATTGCAGAGTGGGCAGGACTCAGAGGTACTGATACCACGAAAATACAGATGGTAAGATATTATGAGCTATGCGCCAATAGAAGGCCTGCAGGTGCACATCAATGTGACACAAACTAACACGAGCCCAAATACAGCCCCAAGGTAGATGATAGTGATGTTGCTCAATCCGATGAGAATGTCGAGGGACAAGTAAACGATAAATAGTATGTGATTGTGAAGACAAGACGTCAAAATCACTAGAGACTGCCAAGGCACCTAAAGGGGGATTAGGA